TTGGAAAATAGCAGTAAATACATGTTCTGGTGTATTTTTATGCATTTTACACATTTTAAAAAGATATTGTAGTTGGTTTGCACTAAGTCATGTTCATGTGCAATGGACTGTTTTATAAAACATGTTACAGTTTTGATTCTTTTGGACTGTCTGGTAGAATAAACGAGTTTGCCGGCTGACGTGGTGTAAGGAAGCCCCGAGCTCCCTGCGCTTGTAGCGTACTCCTGTTGTGTTGTATAACAGCGTCTGCTTGGCTTCCTGAATAATGCAAGTCTCATGTCATGGCTCATCTGCTCTGCTTTCTTTGGTGTTTTGGGATGTCAGATGGGATGTGGATCTTTTATTGAATGCCGATTTGCAATGCATAAACCTTTACATGGGGTTGAAATTTCACTGTTTACCATGTTTTTTACATTTCAGGATTCACCTTTTCTAGTTTTAAGTTATCGTCTATTCACTTAAAGGAGTAGTTCATCCCAAAGTGAACATTCGGTCATTGTTTACTCACCTTCATGTCGTTCCAAACCTGAATTACTTTCCTTGTTCTGTGGATCATAAAAGAAGATATTTTGAAAAATGTTGGCTACCAAATGGTTTCGGCTTCCATTGACTTGCATTACATGGATGAAGAATACATTGGGAACTAAAATGGCTTTTTTGCCAACATTCTTCATTAAGTTACTTCTCAACTACAAAGGGCTTTGAAAAACCATGTAATTTGACTCTTGTGGCTCATTAACATGAAGGATCTTCGGTCTAATTGAATGGATAATTAAAATGTGACGTTTAAGGCAAGACGAAAAAAATTTAATTTTCCATAAAAATGGAAAATTAAAATTAACTCCCTACTTGCATTAAGAATTGCAAACAATTTTGTATTACAAGTTTTCTGAAATGGTGTGTATAAATTAGCAAACAAGGCATTATACCTTATATTTGAATGAATCTGAACATTGCATAAAGCTGGAGGGGATTTTAGATTTCTCTTTTCATCACTGCATAAATCAGAAAATACTGTCAACAGCCAGACAATTTCACAATGTGTTTAGGAATAAAATGTTGTATAAATCAGTGTGAAGGATATATGTGACCCTGGAGCAATAGCCAAAAAATACATTGTATGGGTCAAAATTATACATTTTTCTTTTATGCCAAAAATCATTAGGATATTAAATAAAGATCATGTTCCATGAAGATATTTTGTAAATTTCCTACCGTAAATATATAAAAACTTATTTTTTGATTAGTAATATGCATTGCTAAGAACTTCATTTGGACAACTTTAAAGATGATTTTCAAATAGTTGTATTTCGGCCAAATATTGTCCTAACAAACCATACATCAATGGAAAGCTTATTTATTCAGCTTTCAGATGATGTATAAATCTCAATTTCCGAAAAATTGCCCCTTATGACTGGATTTGTGCTCCAGGGTCACATGAACAAACAACTCTATAAAAACCTTCAGAATATAGATATGAATAAAACTCAACTTTTAGTGTATGTAAGTGCTGCTGAAGTGGAGAAAGTGTGTTTTTGGATGTTTTTATCTCAAAATTGACCAGTGCATGAAAAATGCCTTAAAGGGACAGTTCACCTAAAAATGAAAATTGCTGTCATTTACTCACCTTCAAGTTATTCCAATGTAAACGTTTCTTTCTTTTTTGAACCTAAAGATGTTTTGAAGAACGTTAAGCCTTGTTCAGACTGTCAGCCCAAATCTGATTTTGTGCATATCCAGATGGAATCTGATTTGAATAACTGACTGTCCACACAGTGTATTATAGCAACTGTTCATATCCGGTTTGTGTGTCCATAAGCGCCCTTTCGTTTTACGGAGTGTGCGATGGTTTCTATGGCAATGCCGTTGCGTTGTTAAGCCAATGCTAAAAACAACAATAACAGCAATACAATTAGCAATACAGATGTTGTCTTACGACATGACAACTTGTTGCTGTCGCGCTGGATTATTATTATTATGGATTTTGTCTTATGAGGCAGCGGCAGAAAGTTGGAATGAGCGTCTTTATTCCGTGCTGCCGTCTCTGCTGGTTTCAAAACTCAAAGAGATGCGTATACTAGCAGTATATTGTCTTTTTCCGCTTGACAACACCAGCATGTTTCTGCAAAGACATTCATTGTTTTTTACAAAAACGTCTGACGTTTTTACGTGTTACATGGCGTGAAAACGTGGAAAAGCTAGGCTAAATCCGATCTGAGCGGTCAGACGGAATCGGATTTCCAGGAATGTGATTTGAAACCACATACGAATGTAGCTCGAAACGGATTTGCAAAAATCGGATTTCATGTCGTTTGTTGCCTAAATATGATTGGATTTCAATCGGATTTGCACAAAAATCGGATTTGGGCGGACAGTCTGAACGAGGCTTTAGTAACCAAACAGTTGCTGGTCCCCAATGACTCCCATAGTATGGAAAAAAATACTGTTGAAGTCAATGGCTACCGGCAAATGTTTGGTTACCAACCTTATTGTTTTGTGTGTGTTCAATATAAAGAAATGCATAGAGGTTTGGAACAACTGGAGGGTGAGTAAATGATGACACAATTAAAATTTTTGGGTGAGCTATCCATTTAATGTCAACATAATCGCATTTGAGATTTGACCCCATTTTCCATATTTTTTTTAATGTTTTAGGATTCAGCTTGATATTTTCATGATAGTCAAGAGTGTTACAATGAAATATTTCACTTAAGCTTCATGAAGTTGTTCTCCTCAACTGTAAATCACATGTAATTTGGCTCATTAAGGTGGAGCTTCTTCACTCCCATTCAATTAAAATGTGTCCGTTTGCATTCCCAGAGTGTATCCTAAGCCGATGTTCTTGTATTTTTTAGGTTGCTGGAGCCCTTCTGAAGGAGGTCTGGATCAGTACTCATTCGCGCGGGCCCTGAGAGGCCGACCCGTCAGACGGGCATCGGGCGAGCACGTTACATGCCAGCGTTTTTGGTTTTATTTGGACTGCCCACTTTAGGTTGAAGCCCCTCTCCCCTGATACTCTTTCATTCATCAGAAAGAGTGAGTTTTGACCCTAGTGCGGCAGCCGGGCTGCTCCCCCACACACAGATGAATGAAGACCCCATTCGGGAAGAGCGCGGCCCAGAGATCCAGAGCTGATGCAGGTCAGAGCGGCGCTTTGATTTCTGATGAGCCTTCTGGAGATCATCGTCTCTTTAATATTAACCGTGTTTGCTGTCTGTGTGATTGAAGGGCATGCTGGTGTCTCTGCAAATATGATGAAGAAAAAGAACTCTCAGAAGTAAGTTTGTATTTGCTTGTGTTTTAGGGCTGAATGAGAAAAAATCCTAATTATTGTTTTACATTATAGTATATAAATATTTTTAAAATATGTTTATAGCATTTATGAATGTAATAATAATAATTTTTCCTTTTCTTTTAGTGCTGAATGTGTGAATTATATTAAACCCATTGGTCATAAATACAACATTTATTTATTTAATAATTATAATTTGTGGAGTTAATATTTTGTAAACATTTTTTGACTTGTATTTTAGGGCTGAATGTGTGGATATGAATTTATTTATTATTATATTACGTTGTTAATATTTTACAAATTGTATGAATATTTTATTGTTTAGTTCGTATCAATTGTAATAAATATTTATGTATTTAATACTTATCATTATCAGAGTTAAATATTAGGTAAAGCATCATTTTTAATTGATTGCATAATATTTTAATTGATTGATCTGAGGCTGAATATATAAATATGAATTCTATAACATTTTTATATTGAAATTTTTTAAAATGTTTACTTCATATTTTTAATTAAAAAATAGAATTAATTTTTTTTATCATTAGCAGTTAAATATCAGGTGAAGTATATTTTTGTATTTGTGTAGTAGGATTGAACACTTGAATATGATAAATTACATTATATTATATTAATATTTTAAATATTTAATTCATATTGATCATAATAAATATGTATTTAATCATCATTTTCAGAGTGAAATATAAGGTAAAGCTTTTTTTAGTTGCTTTTGTTTTAAGACTGAATGTATAAATATGAATTATTACATTATATTTACATTTCTAAAATGTTTAGTGCAAAATAACGTTTCTGAATTTAATACATTTCTATCAATATCATAGTTAAATATTAGTTGAAGTATATTTTTGTATTTAATTGTGTATTAGGATTGAACATTTGAGTATGAATTTTATTATTACATTGTAATATATCAATATTTTAATGTTTAGTTCATATTGATTGAAATAATTATTTGCTTGTTTGAGGGCTAAATCTTTAAATATGTATTTAATTATTATATACCATTTTATAATTTTAATATAAAAAAAAAACGTTTAGCTCATATTGATTATAATAAATACATAATTTAATAATCATTACAAATATTAATATATAATGTTAAATATTAGGTGAAGCATAAAATGTATTAAGGATTAAAGCTTAAGTGTGCATTTCTTTCTATTTTAAATGTTAAAATACTTTCTCTGTGTTTAGGATGACATCCGAATGCCATTTGGATCAAGTGTTTTCGATGTTGTTGAAATGACACACTTCACCTTGAAACTGATTCAGAATTCATCATCCGGGAAATATAAATGTTATCATTTCAGAGCGGTGTTAATGCTGATCTGTGATCATCTGACAGGAAACACAAAAGCAGCGTAGGCCCCACCAAAGCAGTGGCTCAGCCGCGGAGGAACATCGTGGGCTGTCGTATCCAGCACATCTGGAAGGAGGGCAGCGGCGCGGCGTCGCAGTGGAAAGGCACCGTTTTAGACCAGGTGCCCGTCAACCCCTCGCTCTACCTGATCAAATACGACGGCTTCGACTGCGTCTACGGCCTGGAGCTGCATAAAGACGAGCGGGTGCAGGGACTCGAGGTCCTGCCAGACAGACTCGGTACCCGCTTTACTTCATTTCACTGACACATTCATGACCACACACGTAGAAAGAAGAGTGCAAACCAGTTCAATTGGGCTGCATTATTAGTGACAGAAAAGGCATTTTATTCAATTATTAAATTATATTATTTTAAAGGTGACATATCATGAAAATTGACTTTTACAGGTTTTAAGTGCTATCTATAATCAGGTCCCCGGTGCATCTACCAACCAATGAAATGTGAAAAAGATTAACCCAGTAACTTTGTTTTGGTAAGTCTTTCTCTGCAAGCGTCTGAGAAAACGAGCGCGTCTGATTTCGCTCCCTTGACGTGGCAAAGGGATCTCATTATAATATTACCGCCCCTTAATCTGTAAGTTTACACCCACGGCGCCGTCATTGTGTTTTCGCAAGCGACAACGGTGTACCAGCTCTAATGCCATGGTGAAAGTTTGAGCAAAACATGCTAACTGTTCTGTGTTTGGCTGCACAGACGAGCACAGAACACTGTTTAGAGTCCCAGCCTCAAAGACAACAGAGCAGTGCATTTATTGATTTATTTAAACCACACAGATCCAATTTATTTCCCAGCTGTTTACATTCATAGACATTTTTGTAACTCGTGTGTGTTTTTAACGTAAACTTGTGTGTGAATGAGAGCTTAGTTTAGTACTCACATGCTGTGACAGCCGCTTTCTGTGCGTGTGCTTCAGATGTGTGCTCTCAGAAAACCTTATATCTGAAGTTTAAACTCGTATGGTTTAAAACCCATGATTTCAGCGCGATAAACATGATAATCAGAACCAAAACAGATGTTTTTTAACAGGTACGAGCTGTAATGGCCCAGCTCTATTCTGGAAAAGGGGGCGGGGAGCAGCAGCTCATTTGCATTTAAAGAAACAGGACCGAAAAACAGCGTGTTTTTGCTTCCACTCAAAATAGGCAAAATTATATAATGATCTGTGGAGTATTTTGAGCTGAAACTTCACAGACACATTCTGGGGACACCAGAGACTTATATTACATATTGTAAAAGTGGCATAATATGTCTCCTTTAAATGTTGCACTCATGTTGCTCAAATACAGTGCGTGCATAATTATTACGCAAGTTGATATTCTGATCATATTTTATTTCCAAGCACATTTTACCAATTCCAAACCACATCAATCTTAATAACTACTATTCATTTTGTCTTTAAACATTTATAAGTGATATATAATTGTCTATGAAGTATGGAAGTGAAAAACGCCTTATGCACAGATGTGCATAATTATTAGGCAGGTTTTCTTTTACAGATAAAATTAGCCAAAAAAGAGATTTAACTCCGACTGAAAAGTCAAAAATTATTAAATGGATGCAATACTTGAAATTGCAAAGTTAAGGCATGACCATTGAAGAGTAAAAATGCTCACTGGGTCAGAAAAAAACAGCTGGAGAAGAAAAGACACATTAACTGCAAAAGAATTAAGGTGAGGAATTAGATGTGAAACCATCAGGAACCATTTAGTCTCCAGTTCCACCATTTTCCAGAACGGCAACCTACCTGGAGTCTCCAGAAGTGCAAGGTGTCAGGTTCTCAGAGACTTAGGTTAGGTAAAGAATCCTAAAAAATGACCCCTGCTTAATAAGTATAACATGCTGAAGTGTTGTGAAATACATGAAGACTGATTGTTATAGGCTTTTATAGAGTGACTCTTGAAGGACCAGCAGCACATCCTCTTGTACCACTCTTTCAAGAATTTATCTTCAGGAATCTGGCAGTAAATTCTGGAAGGTCCGTCTCGAAAAGACAGACTTGTCAGGATAGGAGATGGACTAAAAATGAGCTCCCTAACTATTATTGGTCCCAGATTTGCTGCCGTGGATGATGTTTCCGGTCCTGCCACTCACACTCGTGTTTTCCCGCGTGTCTTTCAGCCTCGACGCGCATCAGCGACGCTCACCTGGCCGACACCATGATCGGCAAAGCCGTGGAGCACATGTTCGAGACGGAGGACGGCACTAAGAACGAGTGGAGGGGAATGGTTCTGGCCCGGGCTCCCATCATGAACACGTGGTTCTACATCACGTACGAGAAAGACCCGGTGCTCTACATGTATCAGCTGCTCGATGACTATAAAGACGGAGATCTGAGGATCATGCCAGACTCTAGTGAGTGTCTTCCGTGATCGTGTTCAATCTGTGTGTTCGAATGCTCACTGCTCTTTACCTTTGACTAGTTGAAAATCTCAAGACCAATATTGGTCTTGTTCAGCAAGGATGTATTATATTAATCAAAAGTGACAGTAAAGACATTTATAATGTTACAGGAGATTTCTATTTCAAATAAATTTTGCTCTGAAAAATAAAATGTATCACCGTTTCCACAAAAATATTGTGCAGAACAACTGTTTTCAACGTTGATAATCAGAAATGGTTATTGAGGAGCAGATCAGCATATTATACTGATTTCTGAAGATCATGTGACACTGAAGACTGGAGTAATGATGCTGAAAATACAGCTGCGCATCACAGAAATACATTACATTTGAACAGATATTCACATAGAAAACAGTTATTTAAAATGTTAATATTTTACAGTTTTTACTGTAATATTGTGTTTTTATTTTTGAACAAATAAATATAGACTTGGTGAGCGGAAGAGACATTCAAAAACGTCTCATCAAAACATTTTTACCAACCCCAAACTTTTATGTGCACAAATTTTTGTGGTAATACTGTACTTAAAAAAATAAAAATACATACATACATATATGTATGTGTGTGTGTGTGTGTGTGTGTGTGTAATTTATAGTAATATTTAAATGAAATTGTGTACTTTATAATATAATATATTAATGAAAATAATTATTTTTGTAGAGTATTACTACAAAAAAATAAGTGTGTGTATATATATATATACAGTATATATATATATATATATATATTAGGGGTGTAACGGTATACAAATATGACAGTTCGGTACGTACCTCGGTTTTAATGTCACGATTCAGTATGATTTCGGTACAGCAGGGGAAAAACTAAACTGTAAAAAAAAAATAATATTTTATTGGTTTACTGAACAAGTTGCTCTTTCTTTAAATACATTCAGTTATAGTTATAAAAATCTACCTCAGCTTATGCTTAACTATGGGGAGCCCTTTTACATTATAAGGTTACAATTAGGCCTAACAACTGAACCCAAACTTAAATTTAATTGCTATTTATTTTTAAATAGATGATCAACACTCAACTTAAAAATAAATAAATTGTATGCAAACATGTAAATGGCACATAATGCAGATTTTAAATTAACTTATAAATAATAAAATTTCTAAGCTATTTGTT